GAGAAAGAAATGAATAAGAGATAAATTGAAAATAAGAGGAAAAAGGATATAAACCCTTCAAGTTCGTATGCTTGGTAATATCATGAAAAGTGTTTGCTCAGCTTGTCTCAACCGGGCGCAGGGTATTAAACCGAACGATCTTTTTTCATTTCTCTACAGCTACCAAGATAACCTGAGGCGCTCTTTCCAGTATGTGCTTAAAACCCCAGCAATTGTTTTAGGGGTGTCTGACAATTCTCTTCAACTAGAATTTCCTTGTATTATCCTTCAATTATTATAAAACAGTTGATTCTTCATCAAATTTTTACATTTTTTTTTCTTATCTGAAGTTAAAGCTGTTTGAACTCCAAGTTATGCTACTTTTCATTGATGGATCTTCTTTGTGATGAGGACAACTATTATCTCAACTTCAACATCATCACTAATAATTGGCAATGTGGGAAAGCAAGAGAATATAAAGTATTGAGAGAGGGAGATGGAGACCATTGGGTTTTAAGCTCTATCGAGGTTGATTCTCTCTGGGGAAATGTGCGTAATCGTCGTGCTATTCTGTTTCCTGCAAACGTTTGTTTATTGGCCAACACTCAAATGTACCAGGGATGAAATGCTTATTCTAGTATCTATTGATGTCGGTGTCTATTTTGATATCACTCATTGTTATTTTGATGGATTTATGTCCAATAGATTGTAGCATAAAAGTTAGTATTTAAAATTTTTGGCAAACGAAATTGAAAAATTTTTGTCATCTCTGACTACACAATTATCCTAATATAAAATAAATTATTTGAATTATTAACTTTATTGATGGAAAATATTTGTTATAAATTAATTATTAAGGGTAATTATGTTTTTGAAAATTATCGGTTTTGTTAAACACAGACTATATATTCCAATCTATAAAAATCTGACTATGTCGTATACATAAATAACTTAACAAAAAATTTCAACGGATTAAAAAAATGTATTTTTCATTTTTGATTTTTTACAGGTAAAAATAATGATCTAATTATTTATAATTTTGATATAAAATAAAAAATAAATGCCAGAGAATAAGTGGAAAAATTGGAATATTTAATGAGATTCAGTAAAAACAGACATCCACTCAATCGCCTTTCAACTTCAGAAATACGAGAGAAAAAGAACCTGAAAAAGATTGGGAACGAAGTGAACGAGCATCGTTGTATGTATAATGTTTAAACGAGCTGGAGAAAGATGAGGTTCAGTGTTTTGTGAATTATAAATGATATTATGTAAATATTAAGAAAATGTCTCGGGTAAATTAGAGAAATCAAAAGAAATATAAAAGCACATTTAATTTTATAAAGAAACTTGAGAAAAATATTAATCATTTTACAAAAATATCACTGAGACATTGGAAGAATAAAATTCGATTTCGTAATATAGTTTTATGAAAATTTTATAACAATGATTAATAAAATCAATTATGTATAATTGACAGGAATTTATCAAGAAATATAAAATTGATAGTTTAAAATTTTTTAAATGGGTTTAAATAATGATATAAAATTTATAAAATAGTTGATAAACAAAAAATGACAAATTGGAAAATTAAACAAATAGTATTCTCGCGCGGTCGTATAACGTGAATTCAGTGCACGTGTCACAGCAACGGCCAATCTGCTTGCATCAGGGGCGGTTCTTATTCGCAAAAGCTTGAGGGTTGTGGTAGAAACGGTGGGGAATTCTGCAAAGCACTTTCGCACGTAACTACCGGCGTTCAAATCACGATTGCGATGTGCTTCATTACGGTTCTTATTCTCTCATTATCAAAGTCAACCATCTTGATTATCCAATAAATCTATTTTATAAATATATTTATTATCAATGAAAAGTTTCTGTGTCGTTTAGAGAAACTAAAATTGATCTTTTTGTGTCATTTTATATAACAATGAATAACAATCTCATAAAATATTCAACTTTTGGAAAGTCAATTAATAATTAAAATGAAAAAGTTTGATAGTGATGTGATGAATGAGATGTAATAAAAACAAACATAATTGAAAGTTATATAAAATATGTTTGGAATAATTTAAAATAATTTTATTGTGAAATAGGAATTTTTTGAGGAGATAAAAATGTATAGTTTATATAGAGCTTGGTTTGAAAATGAAAATTACCCTCACTTGGAAACGGTTTCACCCCCGGATACCGTAGTAAGAGTAGGAAATGATGGTGAACATCAGTTTGTAGCGCATCGAGGTGTTTTAGCAGCTCATAGTGGATATTTAAAAGCATTACTTGCAACAAGTTCTAATTCTAATAATAATGGAGAGTCGAATTCTATTACTTCTGTTTCAGTTCCATCCATTGGTAAATCGTTTAATGTTCTATTTAAATACATTATCAAATAAATCTTTTAAGAAAAATTACTTTTAATCTGATCATCTTTAATGGTTTAATTGATTAGGTGGTGAAGCTTTTGCCGCTCTACTAAATTACATGTACACAGGTCATTTAGAAGTCACGGGAGAAAATATTTATAGCGTATTGTTAGCTACACATTTACTTCACATGCCTGGTGCTCTTGAACAATGTCGAGCAGCCCTTCTTCGAGTTCGTGGGCCTCCTCCACCTATACCAACACCGACCACCTCAAGTTCAGGTTCTACTGTCTTAAGGCCAGTACCGAATAGATTGGTCGGCCCACCAATATGTTGGTCACAATCTGGCCTCTATCCCTCTACATCCGTCGGGTTTCCTCTTTTACCCAATCTTCAATTACCCCCTAGGATTTCTGTATTAACTAATTCTACAGTAATTCCTGAAGCTTCTTCAGCATACAAGTTAGTTTCAATTAAATTCAACTCGTTCTAGTGAATTAATCAAAAAGAATAAAATTGAATTTTTAATTAATTTTTTTTTTAATTTAATTGAATTGTGATCATGTTTAAAAATGGTTATTTTAGTTTCAGAAGTATTTCTCCAGAACCATTATTATCAAGGGCTTCTGAAAAATCTCCGAAACATCAAGGTAGATTAACAAGTCCTAAAATTGTCGCTTCGACGTCATCAAAGCTAAGAGATAAAGAGAGATTTAAAGTTGGTAAATCAGAGAAACAAGAAGTAAAAAAAAATCGAGAACATTCTCCAAATTTTCAAAATAATTTGAAATTATCAAGTCATGGAGAATCAACTTCATTAGCAAATCTTGAATCTTCTCGTCAAAAGCAGAATGACAAAAATTTTAAACCAAACAATGACCAAAGTTCAGTTTCTTCAGGAGTTGTTCTTGATATCGCATGCTGCGACGGTCCAGTCAAGTTTCATCGAGTTCTTAATGAAAATTATACAACGTCAACTAGTGGTATGGTTAATAAAAGATTATCCCAAGGTTGTCCAAGTTCATCTACAGATTCAGAAGTGACTGGTGAAAATGATGAGAATGGCAAACCGGAAAGACGATTAGAAAATGATGGATCTAGTGTTGGTTCAAGTGAAGCTAGTGGAAATTATCGATGTAAATACTGTAGTCATACTTTTAAATCTTATTATTGTTATAAAAAACATGCTAGAAGACATTTGTTACCTACAGGTATTGACGGCGACGTTAATAAACGACCTGACAATGGCAGACGTCGAGAAGTACGACTACTTGATCTTAATGTTCAATATTATCCTTGCAAAATATGTGGAAGTAAATTTCCAAGCTACTATTTCGTTCATAAACATAAAAAACTTTGTCATTCAGCAACGGAAATGATTAGTTCTGAAGGAGAAGATAATCAAAATATTGAAGTTGCTGGCAGTTCAACCAACTCATAATCAAATATTATTTAAACTTGATAAATGGAAATTTAAAAAAAGATTAATAAATAAATTATGAATTAAAAATTATCATTGTGCGTAATTCAATTTATCCAAACTAAAATTTTTTTTAATAAATAAAAATAATTAATTTTTAAAAAAAATTACTTTACATATAGAAATAACTAATTTTTATATATATATATATGTATGATCACGGTTGTAATTAATTTTATTATTTTATGATTAAATGAGTACATATTTTCCAAAGCTCTTAATGGAATAAATCATAAGACCATTTATTAATAAAAATTAAAAAAAATGATTGTTTTTCAATTACACCATGATAGTTCTTTATCATCAGAAAAAAACGACAAAAGCTATTTCATCTTATGTTTTGATGTTAATGAATTGTTCACGATTCATTCAACAATGTTTAGCACTATATTTTATGTTACTGATGATATTAATGAATGTAATAGAATTGTTTAATAAATGTGTGAGACAAACCAATTGCAGAAGATAAGAATTTGGAAATCTTTATCAGATGATCAATACAAAGATTACATGTTGAATCAAGAATACTAATATTGAGATAATTGATTAATTTTTTATACTAAAGTTGAAAAATTAAAAGTCAATTATGATACTATTGATTATTTTGATTTTAATATTTATGTTGTTTCATTAATTAATGTACTAATAAGTGAACCTATGTAACTCAGAAGTGAATAATAATTACCCTGTTTACTCTATTTATGATTTGAAAATCAATAGTATAAAACACTCATATTAGCAATTATTATTGATTAAATGTTAAATAAACACTACCAGCCTACGTAGAATGTATGAATGAATTGTGTACTTTACAGTAAAGTTCTCTATTCTATTCGTAATCCAGCCAATCATTCCAATTATATCAAATGTATCATTCAGAATTTATGTTTACTATGTATAATTAATATTATACCTCTCGGTACAATTTTATATTTATATTGACAAAATTTTTCTTCAAACTATATACCGAAAGACGATGAAATATTAACCTAGTAATATCTAATACACAAAAAACTTGTGAAATGATGTTAATCTAGATTTAGTTTTGTTACTGATAGATTCAGCAGTTGATCATTTTCACCAATTAATTGAACCAATGCTTTTATTACTCGCTACAACAATGAATTCTGAAAGTTTTTTAGAATAAATTGAATATAATAATATAAACGTAAACTTACCAGTTGTGTCAATATTTTGAGCTTCTTCGTCACTTGTCTCCATTGGAGTTGTGTGATTCTCTTTCTTTTTATCCTTTGATCTATTTCCACTTGCATTACTTGCTGTTGTACTTCCAGGCTTCTTTTTGTCTTTTGTTTCTGATGTTTGCATCACTGTTTCGTTTACCCCGACAATATTTGTAGATGACGAGAGACCACTTGTGTTTTCTGAACTGTGAAATTACGTGCAGTGGATTAATAAACATTATTAAAATGTATACCACTATTATTATCATTAATATAACAATCATAGAAATTAACAAGCTTTGGTTCCATTTAAATCACTACTTAAATCAACTATCTAGTTATATTTGTCGATTTAATAGCATTGTAATATTTTTTAAATAATCAATTGACTAATTTTAATTCATTAAAGTTATAAAATTATTACTGCGAATTATTATCATTTCAATGAATAGCAGACAAGAAATTACTTTTCTCAGGAATTTGAAAAAATAAATTTCCATAAGATTCAACAGTAAATATGAATGCAGTATGATAGATTACATTCATGTGAAGACTTTGACGAGATTTGTGAACCTAGGGTCAATTAAGATGATGAACGACGAGTGGATGGCTACGTAAACAATATCTCACTAACTGCTAACTATTGATTACCATTACAATCATGTAATAACGGATCACTTGATTGCTTTTCTCTTCCATTTAAATCTTTACTATCTCGTTATCATCATTTTATGCCATCCTCTAAACTAATTCCTATCATAAGATATACAGATGTATGAATTGAATATTAAACCTATTTTTTTATCATTTATTCTGAAGGGCTTATAAACTCGGAAAACGCAATTGCTGAGTGAATATTTGAGAGTGCTCGTGACGAGCATACGAATATGATGAGAGAGATATCAAAATTGTTTGAACAACGAGTTATTCTTCGCCTGGATGAACACAGCTCAACCCAATCTGCTCACGTTTTTATGCCAATTAAAGTAAAATTTTGATATTCGTATATAAATTTTTATTGATAAAAAATGTATAAAAAAAACTATTATTGTCAATTTTATCAAAACTCTTTTCCTTTTATTTAAAGTTTAATCGATTCTTTTTGATCATTCAAGTATTTAATTGATGATTCTTTTAAAAAAAGTAATTTATAATCAATTTTTTTCTAACAAATTAAGTACATCTAAATACTTTGGTATATTACAACTTGAATTTGAAAAAACTTAATTCATGAATCCAGACTTTGAGAAATATTATTAAGATGATCCGTTATATCATCCTTCAATTAAAACATCCTTCAATTCATAACAGTAAATATTCTCCAATAAATCAAATAAATATTTATATCGTGAAATTAATTATAGCCTTTCAAGTCATAATAAAAAAAATTGCGATAAAAAAAAATAATAAACTTACGGCAGTTTAGAATCTTTAGATATCGTATCAGAAGGTTCTTCCTTAATTTCTTTGATATTACCATCTTTAAAATCATTCTTATTTTCTTTGTTTTCTTTATTAGCTTCTCTCGCATCTTTCGCACTGGACGTTGATGACGGAGTTAGAACACTAGTCGTCGAATTCGTATTACTCTGGACGGACGTAACAGTAGTCGTACTAATCGACGAAGAATCATTCGTCGTAGATAATGTATTCGATGCTGTTGTTGGAAGAGACGAACTTGAGGTGGTGGAAGAAGACGTAGATGTTGTAGTTGTGACACTTGTCGTAGTGGTAGTAATTGAGGAGGTAGCCGCTGTCGTTGTTGTTGTGGTTGTCACAGTCGAAGACGTCGTCGACGTCGATGTAGCATTATTTTGTGGATTTTCTTGAGTTTTCTGCTGCTGTTCACGTTGCAGTCTCGTCGTTACTCCTGTCGTTAAAATGTCTATCGATCCAATGCTAGAATTACTATTATTTACCTGTAAAAATAATAAATTACAATAATCCAATTTTCTTTTATGTTAAATTTTTATTATATTATTGAACTTTAAAAATATGATAACTTAAAAACAAAAAAATTTTAATTTTTAAATTTACTATTATTCAAAAAAACATGAAGTTATGAATAACAGTTACAGACTGTTACATTAAATACAGAAACAAACTTAATAGTTGTGCTTTTTACGATTAAATTGTTGAAAATGACTCTACCTTATTGTTAGGGTTGTTTCGAGAACTACGGGTTCGTTGTCGCGACTTTCGCAACAACTGCTTATAATTTTCAGCTTTTTTAGTGAGGTAGTAGTGATGCACGCAGTCTGGAACAGATTTATGTTCTAAGGATTGAGCTATAACTCCAAAGCTCTTAGGATGCTGAAGGTATTTCTCTTTGAACAATTCATGTTCTGGTGGACTCCAAACATTTATTAACTTCCGTTCATTATGAAGTGCTTCAAGTTCTTCCGGTTGAAGCAAACCATTTCGATTTTGAAATGCAATTCTTCGCTGCTTGGCGTCCAATAAAAGAGGTGGAATGACCGCATAAGAACGCATCTTTTTGTCCTCCATCTGTAAGTAGTCATTATGAAGTCATCCATTAGTTTAAATACTGATTTTTATTAAAATGATACATGATGACTCTTTTCCTGACATTATCCTTTAAAATGTAACGGACGATTCCCATAAATGAAATGCGATTGATTAAATGCTTTAATAAATTAATTCTTTATTTATTTGAAACGATCGTTATGTACCTTAACAGACCTAATTGATGATTTTGATAGTGATAAAAGAATAGCACGTTACTAACCTGCCAGGCAATAATGGCATTTTTTAACTCGGCTGATACTTCTTCCTGGGGAATCAGTAAAAGATAAGGAATCTTCCATGAAGCATCCGTACATTAGAATTATTGTGATCATAATGAAATAATAACCGTAAGTTGGATAGAAAAATTATTCATTTGATTAAAAAAGATTCAATAAGTTGGAATGGAAGAGAGGAAAGTGAGTTGATTTTTCATCTACAGTAAATAAAATGTACATTATCTTATCAATTATACTATCGTATGAAAAGGTTTTTTAGCGATTTTATATTTAACAAATCGTTATTTAAATAACTCAATTAAATTCAGCCTTGATAAGGAGGTTTGATTGAATTAAATAAAGTTAAAATTTGAAAAAATAAATCTCTACAGTAAATGTTAAAGAAATGATTAAGTAATTGGAGATTGTTAAAAGTATCAATTAATTGTAATAATATTAAAGAAATGACTCAAGGCCTATTATTTCATTTTATTTACAATGTAGAATATTAGGAAATTCTAAAAAAAATTAAGGAAATTGAACATAATTATGATTCCTAAGCTATTTGATTAATCAACTTTTCAGCTATATAGTAATATTCAATTAGTGTTGGAAAGAAAATTCAATTTTTTAACGTAAATTTTAATATAATTCCACTGATTAATTGCTTCCAATCCGTGAGATAATCCAGCTGTGCTCGTTCTGATCCATCAAGTAGAAGACCAGTAAAGAATAATGGTCTAAATTATACTGGAGTTAATTAACAAAACTAATTGCAAGAATAAAAATTATTCAACTAAGTATTAGTGAACGAAATGAACTTAGTGAATCATAAAAAATACAATTCATACCATACTAACAACAAACGAATTAATAAATTAATTGATAGTAAATAAAAAATAAGTAAAGCAATTGTTCAATTAGAAGCATTATTATATTTTGAATCTAATTGTTAAAAAGAAAACATTTTTAGTTTGCAAAGATTTATTTAAGCAGTTAATAAGCGTAGAGGATTTTTATTGCCATTCAAAGTGGATATTTAAAAATATTACGAAATTAATTTATGAAACCTGACTTATTAAGCGGATGATTAGTGAAAGAAAAAAATTATGGGAAAGAATAAAGGATTGGGATAGAGAAGCAGAAAAAATACACAATGATGACATTATCGCGTAAGAGTTCAGTAACGTGCCCTCTTTCTTTTCACTTCTCCCAATTAATCACAATGAGATAGAAATATTTAAAAAATTTTCTCTTTTTTGTCGCGTTCATTACTCCACTCGTCGCACTATACAATTCTTCTTCTTTATTTTACCTCTTAACTCATTAAGTACTTTTATCATCATAAAACTCAATAGATTAAATTGGATTAAATAAAAAGAATTATTGTATACCTCTTGCTCTTGAAGACCATCCATGATTTCTTCAAGATCAGCCTCGCTTTTGATACGAGCGCCAACCCTGTTAAATCGTTCTTTATCTTCTCGTTGTTTCCGTAATTCAGGAAATACCTTTTCAAAGAATTCACGATTTTTCGTCTCCTTCGATTTTCTTTTCTGTGCAGCTTCAAGCCTATCAACTTTACGATGCCACTCTTGAACCAAAATGGCATATGTTTGTGATTGCTGACGTTGGAGAGCTGCTCTTTCGCTATGTTCCTTTCGTAACCTAGCTATCAGTCGCGCTCTCATACATGTCTGGTGTCTTGTTTTATTTTCTTGATATAGATTCGTATCTGATGGCTGATTGTAGAGCGGCAGTTCTACTTTGGGTCCTAGTCTATCTAATAATCGATGTGCCTCTTCCGCTTTTTTCTAAAACAGTGTTAAATTATCAATATCATTTTCCTCTATAAAGATAATAATTATTGCCATGAAAAGCTACTTGAAAATTTTGTATGATTTCATCAATGTATTTTTAAAAATTCATGAATATTCCAGAAATAGAATATTTAAGCTTTAATATTACCTTAAAGTGGTTTTAAATTTATTTCAAATAAAGCTATAAAAATTTAGAAATTTTTGTTTTAAGCAAGATAATAATTTTTTCAAGTAGCTCATTTAAAAATAATTATAACATAATTACCCTATTTTCAGCATAAATTTTCTGCGCCAACGACTGATGTTTAGGTAGTTGTGACTGCTCTTCAACCTGTCGTTTGAGTCCATTAGTATTCAGCGGTTTACTCTCTAATTCTATTAACTTTCTGTGAAGAATGGTGATCTGAGATTCCCTTTTGGCTATTTCGTGATCAACTTTCGCAATTTGTTGCAGTAGATCATCTTTCGTACTCCTAAATGGAGGATCTTCCTGGTTACTAGGTTCTGGTAACGTAGGTGAGATAGCTTCAGTTTGTGGAGTATATGCACCTGCCGTAGACTGCACCTGGCAAAAAGATTTTCATAAAGTAACACTTTATATCATCTAAAGGTAGGTAATCTAAAACAGCAAGGTCGGATAATTGAAATTTATATCGAGGGAGGTAAAGAAGAATTCTAGACTGACTAGCACACAATTTATAACCGACGAGGGTTGAAAGGGTAAACTAGGATACCGACTGACTAGGAATAACTTGGTATATTGATTTTTGCGATGAAGCATCATAATTAATGATAAGTTTAAAACGAAGTTCTCTAATTAATTAGTGATATTGATATTGAGTCATAAAGAATAATAAATTCAAGATGGATTTAATCTAACCCACCCGAGTGTCTATCCTAAGTGGTTGAGGAAGCTGAACGTGATCTTGTTTGATACACGTCTCAGCAGGAGAGATTGTTTGACAAGGCAGCTGGGACTGAGGTTGTCCAAGTCTAATCTTCTTAAAAGGTGGTGCATCCTGAATTGTTGCCATCTCAATAGCTCGAATGTTGTACGCCTCCGTAGGTTGCATGGGCATCATACTACGTGGATTTCTCGAACTAGCAACATGATATTCGGCACTAGTTGGCGAGGGTGCCGGGGTTACCGAGACAGGTGGAAGTAATGATATTCGTGGACGGTCACCCCGACTATTGAGGGCGTATTCATTCCCTCCAACACCGACTCCAACTTGTGATACTGGACTACTACTCACACTTATCGCCACCCTCTCGGATACCTGCAAATAAAAATTTCAAATTTCATCAATCAATCTTTCCCCTTTCTTATAATTATGTTATTTATTCTAGTAATATTATATTATTTCTAAACATTTTTTTAGAAAATGCATTGTGATTGTAAATTTAAATTATTTAATTATAATAAAACAATTTAATTATTTTTAAATTTATAAAGAATACTTTTTAAAATAAAAAAATTAAAATCAGTTGATGTAATTGTCACTTTATGAGGCAATTGATGTCATAGATCTTGTCAGCCTTTATTGACATAAAAATGTATTAAGACATAATTTTGATTTGATATTATTTAAATAAGACAGAACGATCAGAAGAGACGTGAATAATGATCAAATTGGCATAATCATCCACAAGACAAGACATGTTGGTAGATTTTACTCTTGGGTATCACGCGACCGTCAAATTATATCGTCGGAGAGCTTTTCAATAGTAGGGATTCACCTCGAAAAAGCAATAATACAGGAGCAAGATAATTCAACGTTACTTTCGTGTGAATTGTAAAGCAGAATTTCATTAACCACGCGATAGTCTTGGAATTATTTTTTCTTCTTCTTTTTATAATACCTTGCAAAAAATTTTCTCTAATACGGAAAGTAATTCATTTTTTATTGAAATAAAATGTCAAGTATTTTACAAAGACATTCCTGGTTAAATTAAATTTTTATCATGATAAATTAAACTTGAATGAATGATGGTTAATGTTTATCTCGAAAAGCTATAATAAATTCAAAATAATTCATTTATTTACAATTAAATGAATTGCAAAAATAATAACATCATATTTTTTTTTAATAAAATAAATGAAAATTGTTTTCACCCGACCAGTTCTTGTTTTATCATTTGAATAATTTTATAAAAAAAATAATATGATATAAAATAACATGATGAATTTCCTAAGAGATTTATAATTATAAAGAAAACAGACAAATGGCGGCGAAAAAAATGAATTCATCCAAACTAATCAATAAAGAATGGTTTTATTCTGAAAAACTTTCATTTGCAAAGCGACTATTCGATTCTATAATAAAAGAACAGTAGAAATAGGACAATAAACTATTGACAGAAAATATTGCATTGCCGTCTATTTGCTTTCTTTTAAAAAATAATTAATATCAGAGCATGAAACTATAAAATTAAATAAATACAGGTCAATTGTATTTCCTCTTCGTTCCATTAATGATTTAGTAATAAATTATGTAACAAAATAACATGCAAATAGTGTTGCTGAAAAAGGAATACATTTGACCGGGTTTTCACGAAGAAATTGATGTAGTATAGGTGCATCGACGTAAATTCTTGCAGGGTAAGAGTTTGCGCGATTCTACAACCGCCATAGCGATCAATGGAGGGGAAAGGAAGCCACCACAACAACACGTAATCACTAGTATAGGGGGATAGCGAAACCCAGACACAAGAAAAGTCAACTTTCACCCGCCCACGTGAATGTTTTAGCCCATTTGTAATTTCATGTCTATTAACTTACTGACTTACGCATTATTGTTGTAATATATTTCAGTTTTTCTTTATTCCAGGTCATTAGAACATATTTGTATCATTAATATAGTTCATTCTAATATAATTACTTTCTTAATAATTTTTTTCGTTTTTCATCATTACCGATTTTGTTTGCATAATTCTAGCTTAATTGACAATTAACGCGCCTTCACAATAATTACCTACATCACAACTTGATTCTATTTAATTTGCATTTGATTGCCATTAAATTTCATTAATAGAAAAGACCAATAGGCAATAACTAATTTATTTGAAATCGACATTTATACTTAATAATTAAAAATTCAGATCAATTCTGGAATTGTTCTTTTCAGATAGAATATATGCATAAATATCAACCATGACTGAATAGCTATCATAACATTAATTTCTGGATAAAAAAATATTTTAAAGGACTCTATGGTTTCTTATTTGAATGATAAATATTTAAAATAGAATGTCTTTAAGAGCTTGTAATTATAAAATATGTTTCTTCAGTCAAAAAAATAATTAAATTCTTTCCAAAACAACATGAAAGGCTACTTATGAATTGTTTTAAGAATGTCTACGACCACAAACATATTCATATTGATTAGAAAATATATTTTTGATTTTCATGATAAAATAATGAAGAATTAAAACATGAAAAGAAAAGTAAAGAGTTTGAGAGATCATTAAATATAAAATACATACATTAGGGGTTGCATTTCTGTAGGGATCTCTGGTATAGGCCGCCGCTCCCGGTGGGGGTGGCGTCTGATTGACGGGTGCGGACGGTGCCGGGGGCGGCGGTGGTGGTGGATAAGGGTGTACATAACGAAGAGCATTGGGCACTGGTACGGTGACGTAATTACTGCCGGCAGAACCAGTGACAACTCCTGTAGCGCCAGGACCGCTTCCACTACCCGGTGGACCCACCGCTCCTCCGGATGATGGTGTACTTGAAGAACCTGGGATATAACCACCACCACCTGCTGTTCGGGGTGACACCGGACTGCTGCTCTTGATGTTTATATAACTTTGAGTAGGCCTGAAATCATAATTAAACCTGTTACAGATAAGTTAATTAATTTTGTGGCTTCAATAATGGTAATTACTATCAATATTATTATTATTATTATTATCATAATATATCTAATATGTTTATTTCATTAAAAAAATATTTACTCAGTAATAATTAAATTTTAACTATTTATTGTCTAATTATAATTATATTTAATGAAATGCCAAAATATAGAAGAACATTGAATTGTCATTTTAATAATATTAAATTATAACAGTAATTGTTTAAATTCATTTTTTTAATTAAGATTTTTTTTTTATTACAAATATTTATTTGAAATTTTCATTTAATTTAGATCGGAACTATATTGTTGAGAATAATAAAAATATATAGAATTATTTTTCAACATTATTTAAAGTTAATATTTAATTTTTATTTGAAGAATCATTTTTTATGTAAAAACATATTTATAAAAAAAATGTTATTTTATTATCAAAATGTATGAATATATACAACTATTATTTTGTACGAAATTCAACAGTGGATGATCATATTGATTTTCTGAAAACCGAAACCTGTTGCAATTAAAATTCTGTTGCTCTAAAAGCAGTATATATTTAAGATGCAAATAAGTTGATTGAATTCAATTGACTATACATATAAAGACGTAAAATAATAGCTTAAACTAAGTGAATAGTATACATTCGTCATAATATACTATTAATAAAACAATCAATGATAAATTATAATAACAAAAATAAATTTAATACTCATTCAGAGAATGATGATGAAGTCAATGATATTCAGGTAGCATTCTCGAGAGTATTTCATGGCAATATTTTCACGTGTCCCGTCGCGCGTGACCTTTATTGTCTATGAAGGTCGTACCACGCCCCGAATATTGTTCTACAATAGTGATAGTAACATCAACAGTGGGTTTTAATATACGGAAATACGTATAAATATGCACGGGCATAAGACGAAGTCACTAAGGAATTAAATATGGAGGAAGCACCTGTGTGTCTGTATAGTAAATAATGTGCTTCGTGAATAAAGGTCAATGCCCCAAAAGAAAAAAATAATCACATACTTTCGAAAATTAAATAACTTCTATATGCATTTATTGGCTAAGACGGTCAATTATTTTCAGCACCAGATAACTTCATGATTATTGTCTGCAAATTTACCATCACAATGACAGGGCGGCATTTGATTTTTCGTCTGAGTTAGACTCCCCATTATCATTTGATTATCACTGGACACGTTATACGAAAGAACCAGTCAAAAAAATATAAATAAATAATGTTTAAAATAAAGTATCATTAACTAGCACGTCATGCAAACATTCTGCAAACCAAACTTTGATTAACGTGTGAGTCACGCTCAAGCACAAGTATGCCCATTGTGTATCGATCCACCGGTATCCTCCCTCCATTAAACCTCCAAATAATCCTCTGCTCTCATCAATGCAGTCTATTACTAGTAGGTTAATATCTTTGATGCAAAGATTCGCTATTGCTGATTCAACAAATCCTGTAAATATATTCCAGTGACCTGACCTGATAAACTTTGTGCTGAGTTTGAATTAGTACATGAAGGTCATGAGAAATTTTAGGGTTTCTTCATCACCTCTTATTACATTTTACTCTAATGTGACCGAATGATCAAAATGATCGTTAATCTATCCAAAATGATGCAATATTCAAAAAAACCTCCTTCAATTACACTATGAAATGACCATGCTATAATTTTTTCTATCATGAATGATTTCTGAACTTAACTTGATTGCATCCTGAATATTTTTAATGATGCATAACATGAAATAATAATCTGAAATTAATTAAATTTTGCAATGCAATTATTTTTAAAAAACACAGAAAACTTGCATGCTTTATTCTAATAATATTAAATAAAAGTTATATTCATAATCTTGAAAAACATCTGATAACAGCTACTTAGAAACAGGATTCAATTTTTAGAACGACCCAGAATATAAAAATAATCAAATATTTTCTGTAACTGTACTTTATTAATTGTATAAAAGAATTAAACTTATTTGAAATGATTGAAAAATTATCCTGTAATTGTTAGAAAATCAAAGGAAAATGAAATTATTTGATAATTGAACTTTTATATCTTCAATTTTTTTATACAATTCCGCAAGAATAGACATGGCAACTAAAGAAAAAGAAATAAAAGAAAGAAAGTAAACTAACTGGGCTTCCAAGCCATTCGAAATTAGATCTGTACAGTGAAGAGAAGCTCGCGTGGGAAGTTGGCAAAAAGCGAGAACCAGAAATGACCCAGAGGTACAGTCGATGAGTATACAACCAATGGGAAACAATTGGTGGGGATGAGGATGCGCAGTAAATCTCAATGCCAATTGGCTAAACTGTCAAGAAACATGGCGTCGATTTTACGCACATGCGCAGACGTCTCAGAAAAGTAGCGCCAGTTCATGGCACGTGGTCATGATAACTGCGCGGACGGTGAAATCACGCAAGTCTTTGGAGCGCAGAGAAACATCAGACATGTCCGTTAGACGACAGCTATGTTGCCAGGTCGTCAAGCAGCGTTGCGGAGTGATGAGTCTGAATCTTTTCACGAATTCACAATAATAATAATAAATAAAACACACACATACGACGTACAGACCGAATGGATAGAGAAGTTATTTTTAATGTATAGAATTGATTTTTATTTAATTAAATGTATATCTTGTTATATTTTTAATTAGTAACTTTTTGAAATTTATTGTTATGAATTCAAGGATGACAATGAAAATAATGATTGCATAAATAAAAATACTTTTTCATAATAAAGATACTAAGTAAAATGAAAATATATGGACCACAAGAGAAATTTTGTTATAAAATGATTCAGTAGATTTTTAGATGATTATTGTTATCTAATTTTTAACTGTAAAATAATTCAGCAAGAAGAATAATATTTAATTAAGAGTGAATTTCATTAAAGATAAAGCTTCATTAACAGAATAAATACCGAAAAAATTAGAGCTAATTTTTACTAGGTTTACCAGATTTTAGTCTATTTAATCACTTCAACATTAAATTTTATCAAACTAAATAATAATATTAACCTTAATCTCTTTATTAGTATTTTATTTTATATTTTGATAATATACTATCATTAATGGAAGAAAAAGTATTGTGGTAAAAAATATCTTTAAATGCATACAATAAAACAGCATTTCTTTACGGCCTGATAAAATTAGTTACTTGTAAAAAACTGTCCCCTACCTGAGTACCATCTATTCAAAACTATGTATATATGTCAGAGTATAATTAATACAACATAAAGCAAAATAATAAAAAGTTAATTTTCTTAAAATTTTTTACATTCTCTCATTAATATTTTCCACAGCTGCCTTTTTCGATCTCTCGCTCTGTTTGTCTGAAGAATGCAATGGAAGAGTGCACCTGTCATCTGAACCACAATCAATAATTGAAAACCCGTCTTGGAGTCTCGGTATCCGGGAAATTCCATGGAAAAAGGTCGACGTCCCGATCACGAAAGCTTCCAATGATGGATTAGTAGTAGCATTGTCATTTAATTTTGCATTATTGCTAAATGTTTCTCCGCTACCATTCTCTGACAAGCCATTTCAACTTGTCTGTCTCATACTTATTCCAATTACCTCACTTTATATTCCATAAAACAAGCAAAGAATTTTTGTTGTTCTTTAGACCGCAACACAAGAAATGGCTTGGCTGCTTCTGCGACTCTGACCGCCTGCTTGGCTGTCGTTGTTGATGACGTAACGGTCGCTGACCCCCTCCTATCTGGCTTGCAAAAGCCTCCTACTTGCGTCTCGGTGATGCCAGACCGACCCTTGACTTATATACATGTATAGGACATTGCATAGATGTACACATATGTGACGAGACAGCGGAAGCGAGAAAAAAAGTATCGAGAAAAACAAGGACGCGTAAATAGTTTAAATTCATTAATATCCAACTTGGTGTTAAAAATACATTCTCCTATTCTCTATCCAACTGAGAATAAAGTACAATACCGCTTATAAATAGTTATACTATTTATTTTGCAATAACTCACCAACTAGAATTATTATGCATTAAAGTATCATTAACGACATATTTTAATGCAAACATTTCTTTATAATAGACTTTGTCTATTTTTATGACAATTTTTTTTTCAATAAAGAAATACAAGACATGATATAGATTACGAAAAAATTGCTATCATAATAAACCGGAAATGTCAGTATTTATGGGCGAAGAAAAGGTCAAACTTTTGATAATTCTCCAGACTAATCTTTCTCAATATGTGAAATAAATTGTTTCAGTATTATGAGTTTCAAAAGAAGCTAAAATAATTTTTTGATGTGACCTCTTAAAATAGAATAAAAAGATAATAACAATTAATGAATCGTCTGAAAGTTAAATAGATTAGAAATGAAAAGAAAGAAGATAAAATAAACGGAAGCAAATACAACTGAAACATAAATTGACGAAAAAATCGATAACAGTATTATTACTTAGATTCATATGAGTAACTCTAGATACAGTTGACATAACGACTCAACTAGAAAATTATCAGAATATTATGAAGAAGAAAACAAACTTTCTGAATGATGTCAAATATATGCGCAAATCACATGTGAGAGACAAAGATCTTAAGAGTTATAATTTAGTTCAGAGTACATATATATATATATATATATATAAATGAGGATGTACCGTTAGGTAGAATTATTCGCCTCGAAGACGAATGTGTCTAGTGTTTCAAATTTTAATACTTAAAAGTAAGGAATATATTCTAAAGCCGTATTTCCATTAATACTAAAATAATGTGAAATAAAAAAAAACAAAGTAGTCTAGTCACGCTTCATTAGTATGGAGTCGTGATACCTTTTGTTTAATTGTACTAAAATCATTAGTATTGGACATTCGATTTTGCTTAGTATTTCTCGTCTTATGATTAAATTTCTATTCATATCATTGATACTTACAGTCATTTTTTAATTTCAATTACGCCTTTCATCATACACAAAATATAATAACAACTATTATTTTTAGTTTCCATAAAGAAAATTTTATGATGAAATCTATTTTTGATAAATTTTAATTACATTCCAGCTTTAACTAAAATATTAATTGTTTTCAACGTTTAAATGATATATGAATAGCTTGACAGACTTTCCATCAATTTATTTATTTAAATACAGATATTTTTGGAAATTTAATTCTATCAGTGCTTTACTTTATTCTAGTTAATTAAACGAGATTGAACCGTCAATAATTTTACTTAGAATTCTACAACCTTTATTATTATCCTAAATAAGAAAAAAATTTACTTAATTTTTAATTCAAATTTACTATGATTATTAATTGTAAAAAGAAATAAACTGAAATTATGAGGTTCACTTTGCTATAAGTGTTTTGAAACTATCTATATACTCGATCGATATTACAGAAAATAAAAGAACAAGGTATACATCAAAATTTGAACTATTCGACAAAATTTTTTCGGATTTTTTTCGATGTAATCAATGCCTATATTAATTGAATATTTTTATTGTTGTATTACAAGTATATTGAACAAAAATATTGAGATTTGTTGAAATTATTCTATGTTGAAAAAATTACAAACTGATGAATATTTTACTCCAGTAAATTTTGTATAATTTAAACTTGATGGTAAATTAATTATTGGTATCCATTACACGTAATATTATTAAATTAAATGTTTCAAACTAAAGTTATTTTATAGAAACAATAATAGCTGAAAAAATGAAGACACTCACTTCATCAGGTACACTTCCAAACACTCAGATTAAGTCGACGTCTAGGTAGTAAAAATATTAGGGCAGTATCCAGTGGGGTTTTTTCCATAACCAACAGCAACTTGATGAATATCTAAATGATCACTATTTGCTCATGAAAACAACACTCTGAAGGTCTTTTTGATGAAGTAAAATAACCATTCCAGGGCCACAAAGTGAACGCAAACACGTGAGGTTAAAGAACGTGTACATTGACGTTAAAGGTTAGAATCGACAGGTAGCAAAAGTTGGTGATCAAGTCATGGCACATGCGCGACTATAAACTATACTGCCCGCTTATTGTGAAACGTTTGAGAAACGTTGACCTCGAGTATTTTCAAATGTGAATTTCGAAAATTTTCTAAGGATTTATTTAGCAGTACATTACATGTAAGTATTATTTGTTTAGAAAGTTATCATTGTTGATAAATATCTATTAAATCAAGAGTTTCGACTGACGTAAACATAAATAGATTCAAGAATTTATAAGAACTCTTTTTTCATGAAAATTATTTCATATTGTATGCGATATGATAGATAAATCTAAAATAATTTCTTTTCAGATATATCAATTCGAAATTGTCTAATCTCGTGATACCAAATGATTACGTGTTGAGATTATTAAAAAGTAAATAAATGGTTCAAGTTTCCAAAATATACATACATATATGTATATATTTTCTTTAAAAATCATGATTTTTAAAAAAACAACTTTTTGGTTTAAGACAGAGAGAAAGATATATTAAGAGTAATTAAATTTGCTAAACTTTTGAATATAGAATATTTTGTATTATAGTTAAAATTCTGATTTGAAATTTCAAAAGGTCATAAATGAAGTGTATTGATTATTTTATTGAAACATCAGTCTTGATTTGATTTCACTAAATATGTAACGAATACTTGATTGAATTTAAATAAAATAAAAGAAGATATTTATACGCTCAATAGATCAATATACACATAGGAAGCAAATAATTATTATAAAAATGACTTAGTATATTATTAATTATGTAAATTTAACTTTTATTGAAGAATAATAATAAATTCCTGCCATAAATGGATTTAAATTATAGGAATAAATAAATTAATAGCTATTTGACGTAAACTATACAATTACTAGTCTGTTTAATCGAATTATTTTTGGCATTAATAAAAATTTTATCATATAAATTAATTTATTAACGAAATAATCGCAGATAGAAATGTGCTTAATTTTATAATAATTAGATTACAGTACTTTTGTCGCGAATGGAATTACATTTGACGAGACTGGCTTTCATGATAAATTAATTTTAATTAATCAGTCGAGCTTATTAATATGAAAAATGCGATTATACAAAAGCACATTTTTGTCAACTCCCTTGCAACTCCTTTAATGAACTTTAAAAAATATTGTTCTATATAACATACAATTTTAATGATTAAATTCTATTAATTTTCGATTTACACATCAAAAAGTTGTGTCGTAGTTATATAACCATATTGCTATAATATAATTGTGGTATTTATTGAATTTATCAAAAATAATGGAATAATATTTTCACTTAAAACTTGAAAAAATGTTTTTCCGAGAAAGCTTAAATTTCAATAAACAAAATAAAATTATTCAAAATTTTAATTCGTGTTCACTTCGAACCTTTGTACTGACAGTTTCAAACAGGAAAGATGCATTGGAGGATTAATTCTTACAGATTTTAAAATACTTTCGAGTAAATGAAATTGAATTAAACTACCACGAATTCTTCAGGTATTTTGCTGAATTAAGAAAAAAACTATCTCAGTCTCACGTCCACATACGTGTTGACACTTTACGTATGGACAAACATAATAGATGAAGCATTAAATGTTACTTGACATAAAAAATTTTTTTACGGATTCGTAGAAGGAGCATTAGCACGTAAACAAATGTATAGGGTCATCACAAATGAGCTTTACTTGAACTCTCTGAAAGACCGGAGGGTTCCTGGGTATAAGTAACGCTAATGACGGTTTTATGAAAGTAACAATATATGGTAACATTTCTCGCCGAAGGGATTCCAAACAAAAAAATTAGTATTTTTTGAAAAAATTTTCAACATTAATTTGAGCTAACGGTAAGTTATACTCTCAATTAGTATCATACAGGCTTCAAACAGGTTAACAAAGTAAAATTTTTTTAAAATTAACTAGATGAATGAGATTTGGAAATGATCCTCGGAAAATAATTGAATAAAATAAAAATTTTTTCGACATAATTTTGAATAATTTATGCAATAAAAAAGTGATATAAAATAATAAAGATAAAATTAAATTAAAAAATTAGTGATAAAAGCTTTCGAAAGTATTTACTTTTCAAATAACTCTTCTACTTTTGAAAGTAATATTTTTCTTATCAAAGAGACAGTAAAAATAGTTATAAAAGATTATACAGTACTCCACTACTAGTAATTAATCATTATAAAATTTCGAAAAAACGATTGAAAACTTGTCCATGGCCATGACCATTAATGTGATATTTTACCATTTCTAACACAGTCATCAGTATTTTTCACCTTTTCAACTAATTAAAAAGCTGTCAAAGAATATATAAATTGATAAGAAAATCACATCAAAGCTTTCAAACGTATATTCAGCTGTATAAACATAGCGATATCACTTGACCTCATTATTTAATTCTGTTGAATAGTGAATTTTAACGAAAGTATATTTTTACTTTCAAAAGGCGTGTTGGCTATAGATTCGAGTACTGAGTAACATTCCTATAAATTTGCTTGCGACGTAGAGCGAAACGTAGTTCAATTAGTAAGATTGATTTCTCAGAAGCGCTTTTCCCAGGCTCCCTCATGAGCGAGAGGTGAAGACGACGAAGCTCAATCGGTGCTTACAGTTAACCGTAACTCAAGTCTTCATGCATAAGAATATAGAATAAATAAAGACAGAAATAATAATTCTACATATGACGTAACACGATATATATTTTCTCTTTCTCTCTTGCAGGAAATCCTAACGAGGCAACGGAAAACGTCGAGGCAATTACTCTACGGAAGTGAAACTGAAGACATGACAACCAAATGTTGCTAAATCGGCTATCCTGATTATCATTCATTTCAATTATATTTTTTTTTCAACTCTATATCATTTATTTTTTGGTATTATGTATACATATCTTGTTAAAACTTCTCACATTAATTCATCATTTACTCTAAATTCAATTAAATAAAAAATTGGATGAAAACGGTTGATTCGAAATTGTTAATTAATACTAATCAATTAATATTTTAAAACTTCATTAAGAAACCTGCTCAATCTTTTTAAATAAAATTTTTTTTAAAAGAGTATAAGTTGATCGCTTTGCCACGTACTGTTTATGAAAAATTTTTTAATAAATCGACTTTGACGATTATTATTTCATCTCATGTTGCTTTGTACTTTTATTGCTTAAATAAACTTGCTAACTTTTATTACAGATCTCAATCATAATATAGTGTTCTTTTTATTACTTACTTCCTGTACCAATATTCCGTTAATAGCAATTTATTATCGAAAAAAATAATTTTCTCATTAAATAAGAAATTTTAATAAAAAATGTCGTATAAATGATCACTTATTTAAATTTCTTTTATTTAAATGGACTATGAAATGCGTAATATGTTCAGTTTTTCGTGCATTACACTTACCGGTGCAATTGAACAGGAGTAGACCTCGCAGGTAGATGTTGATTATGCGAAGGTGGTGGAGGTTGGCCCTGATGAGCTTGAACACGAGTTGGAGTGGCTGCTCCGCCGATTAGCGAATGACCATGACTCCCATGGGGATGAGGATGATGATGATGCAAATCTGCCCCAACTGGACCTCCTACACCTAGTCCACTCACTACCTGGACTTGCTTGCCCACTGTCTCCATCACCCCTGGCGCATTATGTACTACAACATTAGTTTAAAAAATATTCATTGAATTCGATTTCCTTATTTTATTTTTACATTTATTTCACTTAAATTAAATGATTAAGTTTTCAAAGTCATTAAAATCTTAATAAGCGTTTTTAACCCAGATTTTATTTAATTTTTTCCTAAACAGCCTAAGTATCACGACAACTTCTCGTACATAACATGCAAACGCTCTTGATCATTAGATCTATAAAACGATTGGTTGATGTAGGTTAATGATAAATGCTGGATGTTGTTTTATATGTAATGGTGAATGGTATCATAATTATTTAGTAAAAGTACTTATTAATGTTTTACTACATATTTCTTTTTGGCTTAAAGATTTTGTCGAGAGAATATTCATTTTATCTGCTGTATAATACATGAAATGCATTTTATAATTAGCATTTTGATTGATATATTTATCGGATATATACGTTCATACAATAATAAAAGAGTTGAAGTACCTTACACTAATATTCCACGATAAATTAAATTTAAATTGAGAGAATTTAATTACAAGCATCGTAGAATCTTAAGATTATAAGTAATTGAACATTCATTAAAATAACCTTGAAACATATGTTTAACTATCTTCAACACTATTCATCATAAATGGAAAAAGAATCTCTCGAAATATGTCTTTGAGCACCGTTCATATAAAAATGAATGTAATGCTATTAAAAAATTCCAAGGGTCATTAACAATTATATTATTGATAAAAATGGTCAAAATTCAATTTTTCTATTAATACACATCTGAGTAAAGGAAATAGACATACAGTCGAACTCCTCTAATTTTTACGCCTTCGGCCAATTTTTCTAAGAATAAAAATTACGGGGTTCTGTGTTAACATATAGACTAAACTATAGCATATTGACATTTAATATACATAAAGTAAAAATTACGGGACTAAAAATTAGAGGAGTTCAACTGTAAATGTAATTATTCATAAAATTTATATTATATGTAATTTAATTGAAAATAATTTATACTGTAGTAGAAATAATTTTTAACCCATATTTCTAATGATTATTTATTCAGTCAATATTTGTACACTTTTATTCTATAAAAAAATTTTTTAGTTGATATTTAATGATCAAACCGCTAAGAATCTTCATTAATGTCTTCACTGATTTAATTAATTATATAAATTACTCATAGCATCCACCTGTTTAGGAAATAAAAAGAAAAAAATGAATTTTTAATGATAAAAATCGATACTGAATCCAATGACCTGTGATACTTGAATAGCTACAATCAATTTGCTGGTTCTGACGCGAGAACTCTATTATATAGTGAATAATTTATTGGCACTTATACCATTACATTATTGAGTTTGCATTTACTATAGCTATTCCAATATTATCAAATAAATGAAAAATTCTTGCTATTATTAAATAATTTAAGACCATACACTCGACATAGACATTAATATTACTCATATAACAAGCTCAATAATTAAATTAAATGATTGACTCAATGCGTAACAAAATTAATAATTAGTTTTATGAGTCAATAGAAATGAATAACGAAAAGAAAGAATTTATGTATGGATGAAATGATTACTCATTTTGTAACTTATTTGTCCTGGGAGTAATTTTCTTATCTTTAGAAGTAAAAAACACAAACGTATCACATTTAATTGCTAAAATAAAAAATGTGATAATCGTTAAAAACAATAATTTTCAAAAAATTTACGAACAAGTACAAATTTGGAGTTTTTTTTTCTATTTGAAATGATAGCTCGAGATGGGTAATTTAAATTTTGAAGTGATGTAGTCAAAATTTAATGGAAAGTTATATGAAAATCACTAAATATGATAAAAGTGAATTAAAATAATTATAAAACATTTATTTAACCTATAATCATTAATACATGTGCTATGATGTATATTTCCAAGCGTTTTAAAATTATTTGTGAAACTAATTAATATTTTTTTCTGCAATAGATAGAAAAAAAGTTGAGCAATAAAAAAATGGCATTCACGTATTGACTAAATTGTAGACTCAATTAAATAAATGAACCAAGATTGTTTAATTCAATTTTAATACGTTCTTACAAAAGTTTCTGTTGAATTTCTATAAAAATGTCAACCACGTATTGTATGGTGATAACAGTTGTTATCAGTTTTAATTTATGTAATCATAGATATTGACATAATCCAATTCACTTCCTAGTGTAATATATAATAAACCATTAACGTTGGCTAATAACTATACTTTTCGTTATTATTTTTGATGACAAATATACTAAAGTACTTATATCTTAATGCAAATCTGACATATAAAAAAATAAAACGTAATTTATTTTTCCTACTTTTTACAATGATATTTATTTATAAAATAATTCATAGCAATAATTTATAAATCTTATTGTGAACAGATACAAAATAAATTATATTAAATTTGAGCTAGAAATAAATAGAAAACTCTCTTTTCCTATCAACCAATAAATTAGATAGATTTTATAGATGAGAAAATATATTCTGAAAAATAATTTGTTATTGGCAAAAATGGGGGTGGATATATCATCAGAAATGCATTTACCTATTGATTCTGTCATACATGTAGATATATGTATGTATAAGAACTGGTCACGGATATTCGTGAGCAACCAGACTAGTCGTAAATTTGAACACGATTTCCGTGTCTTTCTCATGAGCATGAATGTTTTCAAGGATCGTGAATGAAAAGATTTATAAAGAAATTTTACCGTTTAGTTTGGTTCTTCGAAATGAGAATTATTGTGTGATTCCCAATGATCGACATTTAAATGCAAAAAGTTTCATAGTTGATTATTTAGTTTAAATTCGACATTTTCAAGTGTTTTTATGATAGATTAGGTAGATTGAATTCATTACTATTTACATATCTAAATAATAACGTCATTATTTACCCTCGTTACTTTAAGCCCTGGATTGTATGATAGTAATGTTGAGGTCCGGAAGGATCCTCGGCCTGGATACTCCTTAAAAAGGAAGTATATGCTATAAATATGATAATTTGCTTAGCCATATATATCGATCGCCAATTTTATCTTGATAATATCTGTCTTGCAATCTTAATTGAAATCAGACAAATTGCTCTCTTTCATGAGTCATTTATGACATAAAATATCAAAGATTATGTAACATTCAAATGAAAACTTTTTACACAATTCAAGTTTTTTTCCTTTTCAATTGCTTTTTTTTAGCAGTAAAAATTTGTATAAAATTTTCTATCACTGAGCTTTTTTATGTTTTATAATTTTAAATATTTGTCAATACTCCGTAGAATTGTCTTGTCTGAAATAAGTAGCGTTGTTTTATTTAGAAATCAAATTCTTTACCGGTGAAATTCAATATTGGAATAATTGGAATCAAAATGATTTTTCATGCACACGAAAACAGACATTTGTGCTTAAATAATTGTCATAAAAAAATTTGAATTGGAAATTTGCTAGTCATGGAATAATATTAAAATAACATGCGACGTCAACAGAATAGTTACAATGGATTTTTTACGGATTTCTTCATCTAATAGTTTATCAAGGCTCATTGTAACTGTTATTTTACTAAGAATATATTTTTTTTAAAAATAATTTATTGATTTTTTATTTACATAAAACAATTATTGCAATACTTGTAAAACTATTTTTAATGATTACTAATGTCAGTAAAATAAATTTATATTTTATTAGAGAACACGATTTTTCAATAAGAAGCTCATGTAATTTTATTTCTTTCTTCTTGCTTATTTTTCATTCACTTTTTATTATTCAAGAACTCGTAGCGTTTAAAAAGAGTAAATTATGCAACTAATTTAAATAGAACTTTTTATACATTGTATTTTAAAAAGGAAATTTTTTCTTCTGCTAAAAGAATAAAACATTACTCTTTATAATAATCAATCTCAAAGAAGAAAATGTGACTTTTCCTTAGCAATTTTTACTACGTTTATAAGATATTATTCCAACTTTTTAACATATTTTCTTGTCTTCTGAAGAGAAACGAATAAAAATTTACTTAAAATTTTAAATCGTATGATATATAATGATATATTCTCTTTTTTATTTGTTATATTTCCATTATATTAATAAAATGTTAGAAACTTGAACATAGTAGAAAATATTTTTTAAAAAATACGTATTCCGATTTAAAAAATACCAATTAAAAATATTTTCATCTTCCAACATTTATTTCAGATTTTATGTATTAATAGTATTTTTTCACAACAAAAAAAAATTGTTAAATTAATATAATCTATTTTATTTTCTAATCCAAATAATGATGAAAAATATTTGAAATGGTACGGTTAATGAATTTTTAAATGAAAAATTATTTACATTTTTCTATGTATTAAAAAAAAAAACTGGTAAAACGCTAAAAAAAAATTCAATTCAAAATAGATGTGGAAATAACGCTGATAATTTCCTTTTAGATTAAAGCAATCAATAATTTTTTTACTTTACTAACATCAAATTTTATTAAAGTATCTAAAGTGACTTCACAGTCATAAAAGTTTCTAGATTAAATCATTTGATTATTTTTGCAAAGGTCAATGACCACAAATGAAAGAATAAAATACAAATTACATAACTGGTATGATGATAATTTATGATCAATTGGAAAAAATAAAAATAATAATAATAATAATAACGATCAAAACTTACCAGTAATGACGTCACCCGCTGCAGGAAAAATAGGGATATCCTGCGTGAACTGCTCTCAAGTCACGAGGATGCAGCGATGACACTGAACGCGCACGAGGACGCACTTAGTATAGTCACGCTTGAATAAACACGACGACCGTGCATCCGCGCGAATTGTAATTACACTGTATGATATAATAAGAAAATAAACAAAATGAATGACTAACTGGTCACGAAGTGAGACAGGTAAACAATTAATTGCCACTATTGACTATTCGTCTCACTTCTTTTCTTTTACACCTTACACAAATACTCACTATTCATTATTATCCTTTATTTTGTATTTATTTGTAATTTTTTACTTTTATCATGTATTCCGTTCCACTGTACACTTTAATTATTATAATAATTTTTTTTTTTATTATTTTTAATATATCCACGTCACTTTTTATTTCTGGTAATATATATTTATTTATATCCTTATTTTTTCTTCTCCTTATTTTTTGCACTTCACTTTTATCTCACGTATCTTTACACCCGCGCACTAATAAATTCAAATATGATCCTTTCTTGCTTTTTTCTCCGTTCGTAACGTTGCCCCTGTCCTTCTCGTTCAACGGTATTTTTCTGTAAATTAAATCAGAAAAAGAATCATGAAGGTGTATATCAACATATCAAAAATATTGGAATCTTATACATATTTAAAAAGGTTTTATTGCAAAACTTTCGGTCATTGTATCGTTTGATTCCCACAGCTCCGATGATCTTAAAGTTTTAGCATGTTGTGTAGTTTGTTATGCTGAACAAGAGTATATATAAATGTTAGGCGCGTGAAACATATCTTCACATAGTTTTCAGCTTTGAAAAATTAAAAATGTACACCATCTAAAATAGATGGTGTCTTGCAAATGTTTAATGTTGTAGAAATTTAGGCCAGAATGTAAACTCTTGTTTTAAGTTTTTAACTCCCCCCTCTCTCCATCGCCTCATTCTTAATTCTCTCCAACACAAGTACAAATATTGAAGAATAATGAATATCATATATTCGACAAATGTAAACAAAGACTACTAAGTTTTGCCCAAATTCCTCCGATAGTGATTTCATTTTAATTGAACAAACTTTTTCTAAGAAATTTTGCATGGAAAGAAATTAGTGTATTGATTACAATTTTCAACATAAAAAAACAATGTGAAGATGTACTTTCTGTGCCCCATATATGAATATTTAATTAATCAGCATGATTGTCTCTACAATATACTCAAACTTCAAGGTCATCGAAGCTGGGGGTCAAACGATCCAATTACCAGCTTTCATTTTTTAAGTTAATAAAAAAAAATGTTTGTAAACACCGTTGTGATAAAAAAAAACCAGTTAAACAAAATTATGAAAGTTTTTGTTCGAGATTATTTTTTTTTTAGCACAATAATAACAATAAAAATGGCAAAATAAAATATAATAGTGAAAATGAGCGAAATGTATTTATCTATATTGTATTAAAATAATTGTAAGAAAAAAGAATAAGATAAGAGAAATTGGAAAAAAGTTTAATATATTCTAGAGTCGAAATAGTAAGAGAAGGTCAGTGGCTCGACTATAAGCGAGAAATTCCAACTCCAAACTTCCTTACTTCAACTTTTACACACTAATTATTTCTTCTGTATACATGTACATAAGTTTACATGTACAATATACATCGACATAATATTCTGAAACTTTAAAACAAATTTCCCAGCATACTATAGAACTCTATTTAATTGTAAATCTAGAATATGCATACATGAGAATAAGAAAATAAAACGCAAACAAAAAAGAGAAAGGATTGAAGGTTAAAGTCTCTCTATTTCTTCTCTTTTTTTTCTTATTTTGTCTCACTTTTTCGCATTATCTTCATAGGTGGTATTTTATGCGTTTTACGATCATTTTTCTATGCATCTGCGTGTATTATCCTAAAAAGCATTCATTGCTGCAGGTGTACAGAAAAAAAATGTTTCAAAATATATTGTATGGCAAGTGACCATTTAGAGAGTTAAAAGAAAATTATGTGTTGCAAAAAAAAATAAATAAATTGAAAATGAGCAGTGAAAGCAAAGAAACAATTAATTTAATGATTGGGCCATAGATCGAAGTTTTTTGAAATCACAATAAATTGGAATTCTCGAGTCTCCTGTAATTTTCTAGCCCTTTTAAGCCTTATTCCGTTGATTTGCAATGTCGCAGGCTCTTCAGACAGTAAACACATGACTCACTCACTCTCTCACTCTAATAATATCTCTTTCTCTCTTTATCTTGGTCTATCAGCTCTATTCGTGATCGTCGCACCTCGTGACTTGGCCTAGGTCGCTCGCCTTTAGCGGGCATCTCGCAACCTCATTGACGTCGTTCCACTGGTTGTAATCGGTCGAAGTAATAAAGGAGACGACGCCACGGACAACTCCTTCTTCTACTTCTTCCTCCTCACGTTTCTTCCTCGCTGATGAACGGTGCAATATTACTGCCGTCATCGCCACACTCGCGCACTAAAGACTACACACTACGTCCAAGATGCGCAGGAGCTGCCATGGAGCAGCTTAAAGTCGTTGGCAAACAATACATGTATATAAATGATGAGAAAAAAGAATATTTTAAGTTCAAGTTTAAATGTTTATCTTTCTTTTCTCATATAAATCCAATATCTAGTTTATCATACTTTTTTATTTCTTCCTCGCTAGTCTTTGTAGCTAATTTTTTGAAATTGTTTTATTGAATATGTAGATAATCTGAGCAATATTTTACTGCAGTGAAGGTCGAATAACGCAAACGATGCGCGCGCAGAAAGAAAATTCAGTTTATAATTCTACTTCACTATTGGCAATTTCACTGTTCAATTTTTTATTCATTTCCTTTTTTATACTTGCGAAGTTTCAAAATCTTCTTTCATTCCAATTATGCAAAAGACATTCTTTGATGCATCTGAAACATGAAAAAAAAATTATCATTAAAATTTATAATCATATAATATGTAAATATATTTTGATATTAATTAAAAGAATAAAATGCTATTAATACAGTAGTTCTAATAATCAATTAGAGTAAAGAAAAATTTATTTATTGCTTATAACAAAAAAAATAAATTTTAAGTAAGTATTGATTTAATTATTACAGCACTGCATATGCAGGGAGATAAATAAGTTTGATTTAATGATTCTTTGAATTTACTACTCTTTATGACTCCCTGAAAAGTTTTGACCTTCAAAATGAGTCAATGCTCATTTCCTGCCATTCAAAGTCAAATTCTCGTCTAAAAAACTTAAAGGTAGTGAATTGGTTATTCAGAGGCGAAGGGAGAGGAGGAATAAAAGAAATATTTAATGGTCTCAAAACAGAGAAGGAGATAGTGGAGTAAAAAAGATAGGAAACTGATTGGTGTGAGCATATGTTTGCGTCCCTGTTGACGTGACCTCGACTTTACCAGACACTCGCATTGCTTGCACGAATCTTATACTGTACATGGTTCCTCACTGACTATACATACAATTGTAGAAAACCCTTTCTACATAAACTTCCCTACTCTGGTATAATAGTCAAAAGGAAGCTCCAATGAGAAAAAACGTAAGTAAAATAGGATTTATCTTAGGATTCTCCAAAAAGCTGCAACATTTTCAAATATATTATGACTTTCGTCAATCAATCTTTCTACTGTGCTGCTTTTTGTTTCCTACTTTTTTACTTAGTGGAAAAATGAAAGCTCCTTTTTGGACACTAACAACTGTGAGTCCATTCAGTTCTATTTTGTGCTTGATTCTTTGCAATAGAATGACCTACTCTACTCTCTTGCCATACTCATTCACATGCAGTCACGTACAGTTATATACAACTTCACGAATACCAGTGTAGACTTTTCAGCATGTCTCTTTTTAAATCAACAACATGCGGTAACAAACCTCGCCATCGTTGCTAACTGATTAATCGATCTGAGAACGTACATTCCATTTCATTTGCACTCGTTACAAAACAATCAATTCAATGAACAAACAATTTTTTATTTTTTTGATTGTGTGAAAAAACTAAATCATTCTTCGTTTTCTCTAATACGGATTTCTTTATTATTGTATTTAAAAAAACTGCAAAAGTTTTCATGACTCGGTAAGAAAACAAAATCCATTGATAATATGATATTTCATATAATTTTTTTCTCTATTGTTAAAATAAATTACATTTGCCGGGAAAGCTGGTAAAATTTTATTGATTAAATTTACTTTTTTCTTAACTTCCTTTCTTTCCTTCCGCTTTCTTTATTATTTTTTGGTTTTTTTTACTCAAGAGTACTACAAAGAAAAAGGACGATTGAAGAAGTGGGCCGGTGCGAAATAAAAATAAACAAAGGCAACGATTGTTCCTTACCATATTTTTTCAACTTGAATCGTAGTTTCTTCCGTCTTGATTCCACCCAGTCTCAATCAATGTTTTTTTATTTCCTTTTCGCTAGTTTTAACTGCAATTACAGCGAAAAGAAGACGAAAAAAAAACGAGCTAGACAATATGCCGGTGCACACATGTGACTTTACGATGTTCGAAGAAAAGGAGTATTAAAAAGTGTCGTTTAAGGAGAACTTTAAAGTGATGATTTGAATACAAAACACATAAAAAATACAAAAGATGAAAGAATGAAAAACAAGTGAAATATAGATCAGATCTTAGAGTGCGATATTTCAAGATTTACAAGCAAACTGTCCCTCCAGTGTGAGAGTACAGAAAGTGGAACACGAGAAGTTAATGCGTTAGTTTCTCAACTAATTAGAGACGCACAGATTGACGCTAATCAACGTAAAATGGCTACAGACGACTTTGAATTGGTCTACTTAATCGTCAAGAACAAGTTCTCATGAATATGACTAAAGACCTAAAAGCAGAACGCTGTAAAAAATAATGTTATTTTCATATGTGAGATTAATAAAAATAAGAATGTAAATTTTAATATGTATTCATAATAAATAGTGCCTACTATTTTCATTATAATTTATTGATTTACGTGGGAAGTATACGATACATACAGCCATAAATTCCACTATGAATTTATTTCCCTATTAGATTATTGCCAAACATTACTTTCATTGCATCTATATTATGACATTCATTCAAATATATTTGTCCAGTATTGTTTGGTCTAAAATTCGAAACAGTTAATTTTTAAAACATTTCAGTATAATATATTTGTTAGAATTCATCTATATATTATTAATATGCCATAAAATCAATATATTTAATTGCAGTAATGTAAAAAATATTTGTTCAGGATTATTTTTGGAGTTAAAAATTATAATTATTTTACTGTCATTATATAAAAATAAAAAACTGTAAATTAGGGTGTTTGAATAATACATGTACATGAGATGGGTAACTGCAGGTTCAAACTTAACACTTTCCATTGATACATTATTGAAAGTATGTAAAATGGTTCACTTATTATTTTATATGGATACTCATAATAATTGGACTATTTTTACTTTGGCTTTTTATTAAGTAATGAGCGAGATAGTTTTATTATGACAAGGAGTAATTTACAAACATGTAACATCCCAACATTGTATAGCCTAACGGAATATTTTTTTGTTTATTTTATCGTATATCTCATTATAATTGCTCATACACTTGGAGACTTCTGGGTATGACGCGTGGGTAAATACGTGGGTGAGCTCCCACGAAGGAAAGGTAGAGGAACGTCGTTCACAACAACGCGGATCCATGTTTATATATATATACCTAGATTTTATATGGATGTGGAAGATTGCGAAAGTCTATCAGAATCAACATCGTCATCGTTCTGTGGTGTAATCTAATGTGAACATAAAGAAAACAACAGAGAATTGCATTCTAAATGGCTTTTCACGTTACTTTCAGAAAATGCGGCAGACTACTGAAAAATGTTTAAGAAGAAGTCAAGGAACAGAAAGACGCGACTCGAATAATTTTTGCCGAGTTTCCGGTGTATGGTTGCTTCTGAAGACATGTCGCTTTGATGCTTTAAGACGTGTCTACGCGTACATTTGTTCACACTGACATTTCATTGACGAAAAAAAATAAAATAGAGAGAGAGAGAGAGAGAGAAAGAGGGATAAAACATAAAAGACATGAAAAAAATATAAGAAGGAGAGAAAGAAAAGTTGTCACGCTTTCATCGACGAATCGAATTCTTTGGCAAATGACATTCAAAAAATACAAAGTACTGGAATCTCTTCCGGTAAAAAGAAAAATAAATATAAAAAATATTCAATATAATTTCTAAATTTAATCAAAAATATTTGAGTAATACAAAAATATCATGTTTTATAAATAAATATTTTCTGTAGAATTGAAGAAAATTTATTTTTTCTTTGATTATACAGAAAATTTTTATTATGCAACTTGGTTAGATATAAAATTTATTGAATATTTAATGTATATACAACATAAAAGAAATTCACGATATCGATTGAACTATACTAAAAAGTATGAAGCAGCCTGCGGTAAAGTATAAAGAAGACTTATAATAATAGTCATGTTGTATCTACAGCTACATAGATATAAGATGTAGATTTTCATAATATTTATTAGTTTTATTGCCTTTGTCTTGCTGTAATATTGCTACTGTAGATTGACTGGATTTTTCCCCAAAGTTGCCAAAAAACTTTTATTATTAATGTCAATCTTATTCGAGCATAAAAGAATAATAGATAAAGTTAATAAATAAAAATAGCTTTCAAAGAAACGAATCAAGAAAAATATTTTGAACACATTTGACCTGATCTGGATTATATTTATATATGTCGGGTCGATCGACCCGTGGAAAATTGTTGGATACACTCTAGATTCTCGACTCTAAACTCTTTTTCATCTCTATAATTCTTACAAAGATATACCAAACCCGAATGACCAATAACCGGTCTGGTAGTTGTTGTTGTTGTCAGGGACGAGTTTACGACGACTCGCCGTCTCTACTTATTTTATTCTCTTCTTCTTCAGCATTAACCTCAGCCAGCTTGATCGCTGGCCTACGAGAGAAGAATCTGCGACACAAAATGGCGGGGGAAGAGTATAAATGGCTAACGGCCAATTCTACTTCATGATTTTCCACGTTTCGAATCGAGGCGTTTCTTTCGAATCCTCGAGATATTGTCGACTGCAATTGATCGCTACGACTCGCCCTAGGGCCTATTGGCTTTTATTCCTTTTTTTCATGAGCCCACTGAGAAATGGTAGTGAATGAACGGCCACACTAATATTTCAAAAGAAATAAAAAGAAAAACTCATAATAATAAAAAATTTTATTTTGAGAGAGGTTTTATATATTATTTTTGTTCAATTAAATACGATTATATTATTATCAATCTTATTTTTAAAAAAAAATTATTAACAATAATGCATTTTTGAACGGATCCAATGAATATGAATAATAATCGGAATTTCCAATATTAATACAATGAAGCATAAGTTTAGATATTGCAGAGATATGTCTAATAAAACATTTTAAGTGATGTAATGTTACATTAAATTTTGATTTAATATTGAAATCAATACAAGATACATACGGATATATTCGAACAATATATATCAGTTATATTATATCTATGCATACGCCTATGTAAATTGATGGATATACTCACATTAAATTATAAAATAGTAAAAATAAAAAACAAACCGATCCCATTGAAAATTTTAAAGCAAATATTGAGAGAGCATTATTTATCTTTTGAAGACAGCTTTTTTGAAAATTAGTCAAATTTTTTAGCAAAAAATGACTAGATACAAAAATTTTAAAATACCAGACTTTTTTTGAATGATTGCTTTTAAAATCTTATGAGTTTCTTGAGTGTTTTTTTTTAATAATACTTGCGACTTTTGAGTCTAACGTGGTTATAATTACTTCTTTGACAACTTCGTTTTTTGTTTTTATAAAACTTTATAATCCTTAAGTTTATTCAAGAAAGACAAAA